GTCGCCAAGTGGAAGGCTGACCACCACGCGGTCGCCTTCAGCCAGGTCGCTGACGAGTGAATAGAGCGCGACGCGGCAGACGCTCAGGTGCCATGCGTAGGACGTGACCGAGCCATATCAACTGACACAACAAAACCTGTTTGTTGAAGGGAATACTTGCATTCCTCAAGATGCGACGTCGAACGTCATTACTGTTAACTTGGTTTTGCCACCATGTCTTCCATGCAAATCGGCCAGGACTCGCTCTCATACAACAACACTACGCGAACTGATGCACTGTAAACACGGCTCTTTAGTGAGAATGAGACGTCGCGATGACCCCACAAGTGCACCAGATTGGCGAATGCTGATCGGGCTTTAGTGATGCGAAGAGTGACTTCTTTGCTGATGGTGCCATCAGTAGAAACACAGCTCCCAAGGTAGACGCAACTATCTACCTGTTCAAGTTGTGCACCTTCGAGAGTGAACACGGTAGCAGGTGAAAGCCAATCCTTGAGCAGTACTTTACACTTCGATGGGGCGAAGCTCACGCCATACTTAGATGCTTCAACCGCCAAACGATCCAGAATGAGTTGCATACTCTGAGCATCGTCACCGAGTAAGGCTATATCATCAGCATAATCTAAGTCGGTCGCGCGCTCACCCGGTAGAAGCTCAAGGCCAAAATGTTGGAAACCTTCTAGAGCACTCGACAGAACGTCTTCGATTGCGAAGTTGAAGAGGAATGGGGACATAGGGCAGCCCTGTCGCACACCGCTATTGACGGCGAATTGCAAGGAAAGCTTGCCATAGACCCTCACTCTGTCGGATATTTGAAGGTAAAGTGCTCGTAAGATGGCGGTATGTTTCTCTGGCACCCCCTTCTTTAGTAAGCAACGCTATAAAGCCGGTCGATCAACGGAGTCAAAAGCGGCACGTATGTCTAGGAATGCAACGATAGTGGGCCTGTGATAAATGTGGCGATGTTCGAGCAGCTGGCGGAGCGTGAAGATGTGATCCACTCATCCGCGGCCAGGACGGAAACCAGCTTGTTCTTCACGGTAGTATGATTCACGTATTGGGGATAGTCTGCGAAGCAGAGTGGATGCCAGTAGCTTATAGGCAGCCGAAATAAGACTAATCCCGCGATGATTTGCACATGAAGTGCGAGCGCTTTTCTTGAAAATCGGGACAATAACTAATTCGCCCCAAGAGGAAGGCACTTTCTCTTCATGCCAAATTTTTGCGAACAGCGCGGTCAACTGGTTAACGAGCGCCACATCGCCGTACTCGAATAGTTCCGGATTAAGTCCGTCTAAGTCGGCAACCTTAAAGCGCTTCAAGCCTCGAATCTCGAGGCAGACTTCTGCTTCGCTGGGTGGATTCAGTGGGACGAGTGAGAGTGGATAACAAGGTGTACAGCATGTACTGATGGATGGTGGAGGCCAGTTGAACTGCGAGTGAAAGTGCTCGGCCCAGCGGTCCATACGCCTCTGTTAGTTGGTGATCGGAGACTCATCCACTTCACAAATGGCCTCACTGACACCAGGCTTCCTGAGGACAGTGGACCGAATGATTTGGAAAAGCTTGCGAGTGTTGCCAGAGAGGATAGCGCCCCCCGTCTCTAAAGCACGCTCAGACCATCATGCCTCGTGATCCTTGCGTACGCTTTGATTGAGCAATCGGTTGGCAGAACGGCGCCGCTCGTTGCAATCTGATTCCGCCGGAATACCATTGCGGTGATCGAACAGCTCCAGGCAGTGAGCAGAGATCCAAGCTTTTAAGGGGTGTCGAGTTAGGCCGCAGCTTGACTGTCCGGGAATGGTCATCGTTTTCTGTATGCAAGTCCAGTGTTGCTCCACATCTTGTGGTGGATTGCAACTCAGTGCGTATGGCAGTGAAGACTAATAGCTCGTCTGGACAGAGCAATCAGTAAATCTGTTTACATCAATCTTGCAGTGCCTGGTGTTTCGGGACCCCTAAAACACATGCAGATTTTCGCGCAGACCAGTGCATGATCTGAGTCAACGAAGGTAGACCAAAAGGATCTGCCGTCCAGTACGCTGCCACACCATCTGAAGCTAATTGCAAGGTGGTTAATTTGAGATCACGGTTGTGTTGGCGAGGGGGAACGCCACGTTGCGGAACACTTCTTAACACGCCTGAAGTTAGTGCTCGAGAGAAATAGTTGGTTTGCTTCGCACAAGGTGAGAAGCATCTCTCCGTTATCAGAACGGTTCTCATCGAGCGCGTGATGATCACCAAGGTGATGTTCGTATGGTAACAGGCGGCCAACCCGTGCATTAAAGTCCCCAACAAGGACAAGGACATCCGACATTTTAGCATTAGTCAAAAGCTGACGTAGATTTCGATAGAAGTCGTCCTTGACCGAACCACTAGTGCAGTCAGTTGGAGTGTACAAGGAGATCACAAACAACTTGCGTCCCTCTTCGCGGCGCTTGTCGATTTTACATGAACCCCGAAGCCGAACTGCACACAGTCAGCTTTTAATCGGGAACCAGTCCAGTAGTGCCTCCTCGGCCTTTCCACTTGGCGCTATACCTACACCAGCCAAACCAGCTGAATCTTCAGAAAGACGAAAGTGACATCTAACTTCGTGGTCAGTGGGGGTGTCAATGTAAGCACAGTGCTAGGATCTTCCAACCGGGTTTCTGAAAGGCAGCAGACGTCAATATCGAGGGACTCCAGGGTGCGCGCTAGACCGGCTTGCTGTCCAATCAGCATGAGTGTCCGAACGTTGAAGCACGCCAGATGGAACGAGGATCGGGAAGGAAGGAGAGCCATAGGTTGAACTCCAAGGTTTGCGGCTCAACCGGAATCGCATCCAGATTGTTGCACACATGAATCGGGTAACGGGAAGTGAGGATTGTTAACAAACAAACAATTGGCGTGTGATGAAGTCACGTGCAAGTGAGAAGCAGAAACAGTAGCTGATGCGCGCGTTGTAATACGGTCCATGGTTTTGTGAGAGGGCGTGATACTACCCGGTTGCCCAAGCCGAAGTAGGGAGTTGACTTAGGGGACTCCACCCCGAGCCTTTGGCTAAATAACCTACCCGCAAGGTAGCCAGGCGAATTCAGGGAATGGCACTCATTGGGAGTCGCTGACTGAATGTCCATTTCATACCCCTTTGGTTTGGTAACTCACCAAAAAGCGGCCCAACACTCTTCATGAAATCAGCACAATTGCTGGACTACAATGCTCCACCGAGGTGGCACACTGTCGCCCAATACTTCGCTGGAACGGGGTACACCCGAACCATCCAGCTGGCACCACGAGGAGGTAGTGCGGCAAGCCAGCCAATTTGTACGCTATTTGGAACAAAATGCAAGTTGATAGTACACAATTGAAGGAGTCTGGGCCAGCTCCGTTTATGAAACGTGGCTCCCATCCAGATGCCTCCCGGTCTTATTCCTTCGGGTTTACGCTGGATATGGGGTGTGTGGGTGAAAGTACGGGTGGTGCAGCACAAGCCACACATAATCCCTCTGTAAGCGCAGGCATCTTATGGCTGTACTATGGAGGTCGCAGTGACAAGCAACTCGGAAACCGGATGCCGCCAACCAGTCAATTTGACACCCTGACGGAGGTTTCATATCACTTGTCTCCAGCCTCCCCATTCCATGAGAAGCCATTGCAATCAAACGAATGGTCATTACCCTGAGGTTCGATTGTTCATCGCGTTGGAAGAGGCAAGTGCCTTACCCATCTTTTATCAGCGTAACAACGCACTTGTTCGCAAATGAAGTAGGTATTTTGCTGGGTGGTATCTCAAACCGAGTCAAATGTCAATATTTGCTGGCTAGGGGAATTGTTATCCAAGGATGACTGTTATGATTGGTTATCTCCCCTGCACGAACGCTTTGTGGTGATCAGATAGAAGTTGTTCAGGAATTCAAGTACCTAGGCAGCTATATTAGCGCCCGTGGGATTGAAGATGAGGTTATGAACCGTATAGCAAAAGCTAGAGGTGCTTTTGCCAATCTCCGCCACCAGTGGCGCAAACGCGACGTTACTCTCGTCCTAAAAGGCAGAGTTTATAACGCAGCCGAACGTTCGACTTTCCCATATGGTTATGAGACCTAGTCCATCAAGTCGACAGACAGAAAGAGGCTCGTCAACTTCGAACACCACTGCCTTCGCACCTTAGCTCATGTCTGGTACGAGCACTGCGTGAGCAATGAGCGTGTTCGGCGTCGCGCATTTGGTGCAGGAAGTGCGAGTGAACCGTTCAGCACCATTATATCACACACTAGGGTCCGTTGGCTGGGCCACGTGTTGCGCATGCCAGCACACCGAGTTCCGCGATGTGCATTGTTTGCGCGCCGGGGGTGCGGTTGGCAGAGGATGAGGGGAGGCCAAGCGATGACTTGGTCGAGAGGAATGAAAACCCTCACTCCGAAGTTGGCGACGGTTGGTGCATCCCGACTGCCTGGCTGGGGTCCTAAGGACGATGAACACGTTTGGTTGGACACACTAGCTGCTATGGCGAAGATCCGGCCCCAATGGGGTTTGTGCTGTGAGTTACTCTGTCCATCCCTTTCAGTTTAGGTTTCCTCTCCAAGCCAAACCATATGAAACACATATAGTAGTTAATACCATATACTTGGAAGTGTATTTTTACACATTTTGTATTGCGGCACATAAGCTGAGGTGCGTTTATCGCCCCAAGAAAACGCATCCCGACAATGCTGATGACGCTGATGATGATGATGATGCTGATGATGATGATGATGATGATGATGATGATGATGATGATGATGATGATGATGATTGTTTATCCCGCACGAGTCACTGACATATGTTTCCATGGGCTGGTCATTATTATGGACCCGAGAATAACGCCCTCTGTTGACTCTTGTATTCCCAATCCTCGGTGCCAATTCGTCATTTGCCAATTTCCCGCAGAACGCTGCTCACTTTTTACCTAAGGGTCTTAGACCGCTTAGAGATTGCACCGGATTAACGGGCACTCGCCTTCTCTAGTAGCTGAGTGACGCATGCGGTCACTAAATTCGAATCCAGTTGACTCTCCCTCAAATCACTTCTCTGCTACTGCTAATGCGAGAAGGCGGATTTCAACCGGTTGTTGCCAGAAAGCGCAGCGTGCACTCGCGACTATCGACCCTAGTCGCGCTTTCCAGCCGTCGGGTGCGCGCTACGCGTCATGTGCGCTTCGAGTATCGATCCACCGAGAAAATTGTGCCTACGATTTGGCTCACCGAACAAAGTAAATACAAAGTACCGTAGGTAGAGAGCGAGTAGAAATAATTCTAGGTTGATCTATGGAGATTCGGTCGTGCACACATGTGGTATAACATTAATACCGTCCTCTTTCAGCATATTGTAGCTGCACGGTGTCCTGTTCTCGTGTGACGCGCCCTCTAAACCAATAAGCAGCAAAGTGGGCGTCTAGGAATTTCTTGAATTCGGACACAGATTTCGGTTATTCTCTTGCCTGGGGTGAACTGTTCCCATAGTACACCATTCGACTCTCCAAGCATAGTGGAAATACGTTAGTACAAGCCTGTGATAGCACCTGCATTTGCTGCTTGGTACACTCATCTGGAGCAGCCGCCTTTGCATCGGGACTTCACCGAACTGTACTATCCCGTGGGTCGTTATAAGGTCAACTCAGAACCGATGATACGACAGGGTGTACATCCCCAGTCTTCTGCATCGGCCTTCGTACCGTATACCCCATAACTTGGGGTTAACTCTGACAAATACATACTGAACTCTTCCACTCCCTGGACCTTGCAATGGGTGATCGGACAATAGGCCGCTGAGCCATACTCATACGATGGAAAAGAAGAGGCGGGTGGCAATCCCTTCAGACCAAGTGCAGAACCAGCGTTTGAGTGCCCAAAACATGCGTAGTCCGTCCCCTTAGTTGTGTTCTCGCCAGCACAACTGGACGATTCCCTGTGGTTTCACTTTGATTGCCAGCGGTCAAGCCACGGGACAAAGAGTGTGTTGAACTGAACACAACACACCAATACCGTTCAGCTCACAGTTGTGTGTGCGTTTGATTGTTTAGGTCGCTAAGATTCAATGGGTGTGTATAGTGCGCAGCCGGTGACAGTCACGATTATTTCTGCAGCAAAATTAACTGGGTGATTTGACTGTAGGCAGGAGTTGTTCCCATCCAAATCACACAGCTGCTTGTGGTAAATTGTGCGCTTACCTTCCTGAACAAGTCAATTTGTTTCGTTTCCTGCGCACACTCGACTTGGAACTGTGGAGGGTTCTGTGTATTTTGCGCAAGTTACGAGATTCAGCCCGATTCACTGGCACGAATTCGCTTTGATTTTCAGAAGTTAGTTGGGTTTGGGCTTGCTCTAGGCCCTAACATCCCTATAGCCTGCTCGTATTGTACATGGACTTCAAACCGCAGCTTGCCAGTACGTGCGAACATCCGGCATTGGGACAATCTCTTACAGAACCGGGAATTAACGCCACTGCGTAACCTTTTCGAGATGTGCATCTGGACGGTGGCTCAGAGTAGTGAATCATGCAGAGGCTCGCTGGTCGATTGGACGCTGGCTGGTTCCACGATTTTTCTCTAGACCTGTGCGTTACCAATTCCGGGTGGCCACAGGTGACGGATGCGGTGGATTTGCATGATACTAAACCAAATGTGCTCGCAACAGCGTCTATGAACCCTTTAACACGCAGACTGTAAGGCTTGATTTTGTGCACTTTACATGTAGGTAGCGACGTATGTTACGTTATGGACATCGCTGGTGTGCCTAACGGTGTACAACCCAACAGTCCGTTGTGTCAATATGCTCAAACGTACTGGTTGACCGCACTTTGTACACTTTTGCCACTGTAGCAATCTGGAGATTCTCCGGGTTGCCTGTGTACAATTCTAATTAAAATTAATATTTCATTTTACATTTAGGCTACCGGTAGGTATTGTTGAACTGGTTGTTGGAATTGATTGCTTGAATTGAGCATCGTCATTTTGTCTGGCGCCCGTTTCGATTGCTACGCGCAATCACATTAGGTACTGTGTAAGTTGCGTTTCCCTAGCGTTCATCTGTGTCGCTTTTATAGCTAAGCAAACAGGGAACATGTTGCTGTACAATTAAAGTTTCCCTGAAACCGGATCTGTCTTTTGAAATAGCTATCCAGGCTCCCGCTAAACGCTTCCAGCTAGAAACCTCGTTAACACGGGTTGAAACTTGAATGTTACCAGGTTTAAGCTGTCCCACAATCACCCTGTAAACCTATTTCTTTTTTGAACGAAACTACCTTAATCTCCACCTGACAGAGGAATAGATCAACCAGACAGCGGAACTTTTCCGTTACAACCCACCGAATAGAGACCTCAAACAGTTTGTAAATGACAAGTTTGTAAAGCAAATTACCAGGGATGATGTCCGTAATGTTCTTCCTTGAGTGCGACCGAATGTGGATTCTAAGCATTTGTTTCCAGGTTTTAGTACATACAGTGAAGTTGTATCAGGTTTTCAGTTCTATGGAAGAGCAAGGATTTGCGCGGGTTATTTAGGTGGACAGCCGATGCACGCACATCTTCTTCATACAATAGGAACAAATCAAAATGTTCCACTGATTTTCGTATTTTGTTTGCGTGGACGCCATTCCTGGCACTAACCGTTGGAACTTACAATCAAATGAGCCATCACATATTTCTTGCGGTTTCAAGCTGTACCGGGTTTCGATTTCTGTCGGGTTGAGTTACGGCCGGTCCATTTTTATGCCTTTTTGTGTCTGGAAACGAACGCTTCTCTGCTGACTTTGTTCAACAAGTTAAGAGAAATAACGGGTTATGAGTTCACGCTCTGGCACCATTATAATTGAGAAATTGGCTTCTCAAATGCATGCCGCGCACACAGCTTTCTAATGCGATCCTCTGTTGCATTAGTTGCAAATTCGTGAGGCCACCGGGAAGATGTATGTGTTATATCGTTGTAACTTTCCGCAGACAAATATCACTTGATCACGTTTCATTTATCATCGGATAGCACGGAGAGGGGGTAGAGTCTAGTTCGATTCCTTAATGTTCCCATTGCAGATTCCAGCATGATGTATGGCTTCTTCAACGAACAGGCTCCCACTTTGTGCGTTGTCGCACGTCTCACCGGTTGTAGAACTGTCGGTTGTGGGCTAAACACGACCACGGTGGGCTAGTACACTTTGGGAAGACAAATAAAACCCCAGTTGAAGATGCAAACTTGCGCCCAGAGTAGGTGATGCACGACTTACAAAATTGTGTCGTAGCCGTTTGTAAAGTCTGAAAGTATTGAGAATTTCTTCTCAAGCAGTTCCTGATGCATGTGACGTACTTCTGTGACATTCACCAGCTGCTGATACGTTAGTCGTGCACACTTATTCACTTGCTTTCCAATATATATATATATATATATATATATATATCAAAGCTATATCTTGCTTGCAGCTTGAGACACCTTTCGCTCTGTTCGGCTGCTGTGCGCGCCTCACGAATAACTGCTGTATACGCCAGTTAGGTTGCTCATTAGTCGAGCGGCGGAAAGACTGGCTGTTTCACACACACACACACACACACACACATATATATATATATATATATATATATATATATATATATATATACCGGGTGTTTTGTTAATCTGGTCCGGAGCTAGGAGCGACTGCACTCAGGTGCTGACGTACAACCGGTAGGCTGAATTGCTAACTGTCCAATGACGCACATTGCTTTGCCGGCAGGGGTGAGATGGGAAACAGACTTCACATGTGCGCCTACGATTGCAGAGCATGCCAAACCTTTCGGCTGTGAGAATTGAACGTAAGCCAGACACCACAGCCGCAACGAATGCCTCCTGCCTCGACCGTATGGCAAGACCTAGGGAACTCACGCCGCTCAGCTGTGAGAACTGGACGTGAGCCGGACACCACATAGCCGCACTGAACCTGTCCTGCTTCGGTCGATCAGTAGTCGGTCTTCATGCAGGTGAAAAGCCAGCAAAAGTGTTTCCTGTGAAGTGTGTCGCTGTGCTAGCGACTGAGAAAAACAGCCTGGCCGTATGTGATAACCGTTTGATGGGCACCATTTGCTATCGCCACAAAAGCTGTTATCGTCTCATGACTGGCTTCCAACAAACCCGTAAGTTTTAATTAGGCTGCTTTCACTGCTAAAAGGAATCATACTGTCAGGAGCATATTGTAAGGCTATAGAGTTGTTCGCTTTAACTTTTCGATTGCGTGTGTGTTGCAACTAAAAATTCACCCTTCATGGGTGCATAAAACGGTTTCCTGACTTGACTTGACGTGAAAATACTGTTAGATTTCCGTCTGCCCCGACGCACTGGTGGCACCAATAGATAGCACACCAATTTAGTCATGAATGTAACTATTGCCCTCACAGTCACATAATTGTTAGATGTGCAAATTGATCAGGCCTTCGATGGGGTTTTCCATGTACAATGGAGAATATACATTTATTCATTTCTTTACTTAGATTTACATGAAATATGTGAAATGTCGGTAAATATCAACGAATTAGATGTTTGCAACCTCAAACAAAGCAGTCGGACTCGCACTGTCATGGATGAAGTAGCACCTTGCGCGTTTCCGCAAGAGGTACTCAGTAACAGCCATCTCAGCATTCCGTAACTCGCATAACATTGCAACGCCACACCGTATGCTGTGCATCGGATATTGAAGGGGAAAATTCCGGCGGTACGGTTCACTGGGTGTGCAAGTGTTCGACGCATGCGAATCACAGAAGCGCCTGGAATTCGCCCGTTTTGTTTTTAAACAGTCTGGACATGCATTCCATTTTGTTCACCGATGAGGTGGTGTTCCCTCTGCATGGCGAAGATAGGAAACATGTTTGAACAACGACCAACCCACGGCAATGTAGTGCTTCACGTGTGCAACATCGATCGAAGCTCATGGCCTGAGCTGGATTGACTGGTCGAAAAAACATCGGACATTATTTCTTTTCCAGGAGTGTGTCCAGTAGGTTGTCGTTTAACAGTTCAAATGTCGGATGTTTCTTAGCATCGTTGTACATGGAAATGTTGCAGAGCAGTGCCATTCCGCAGCTAGTGTCGGAAGGGTTAATGAATAACGTTTCGTGGCAGCAGGATGACGTACCTGCATATTCGGCGAAATCGGTTCGTGCCTACTGTAGGAGACATTCGATGCACGTCGGTCGCGGAAGACAGACAGAATGGTTTGTGCGGTCACAGAATCCGAATCCCATGGCTATTTTTCAATATATATTTTTATATATATATATATCGATGGTGCTGCGACTCGAACGGAATCCACATTGCTCTTCCGCCAGGCTTGGTTCCACAACCTGACTGACAAGGCGGTTGAGCAGGATTCTGGCAATCACTTTGCCCTCACAACTCAGCAAGTTGATACCACGATACTTCGTGCAGCATTACTTGCTACCTTTGCCCTTGTACAGTGGTAGCACAAGAACATCCTCCAGCTCAAGAGGTACATCCTGCTCAATCCACACGCGTTGCACCAAGTGGTGTAGCGCAGTCACCAACGCGGGTCCGCCGTGTTTCAATACTTTAGGCGGGATCCCGTCGGCACGAAAACACTTGCCGGTTCGCAGCTGAGCAATTGCTGTCTGCGTCTCATCCAGTGTCGTCGTGTCCGCTAGCCTCGCCTTCACATAGTGCTGCTTGAGACCGTTCAATTTAGGCCAGTAGATCTCTGAACGGTTGTTCAAGAGACAGTCCAAGTGTTTTCGCCACATCTGCATTATGTCTGCAGTCTGTGTGCAAGTAGCACCTGAGCTACCATAAATCAGCTTCCTTATCGGCTCCAACCTCGGTCCATACACCGCCTTCAAGGAGTCAACGAATTCCTTGTATTAGCGATGTTCGGCGCAGCATTCCATCTGCTTCGCCTTCTCCGTCCACCATGCATTTTCACGCGACGGAACTCTCGGGTCCGTCGCCGTCCGACTTTGCGAAACTGACTCTTCTTCCCCAAGTCACTGGGGTCTGCCACATGTGTAGCAAATGCTGCATTCTTCTCACACCAATGCACTAATCGTCGCATTGTTCTCATCAAACCAAGCAGGCCGCTTACAGTTTGCGCGCCCGGTGGTCTCGTCGGCAGCAACTGTCACATGATCGCGAAAGTGGTGGCATAGGTCGCCCACTGTGGCTATGCAGTTCACATCACACAGGCGTGCAGCCATCGCCTTCTCCAGCTCAGTACGTTTCGCCACAGTACCGAGGGAGACAATGTTAAATTTACGCCGATTCACGGCGGGAGTGCAATACATAGATTTACGCAGATATATGTACAGTTTGGCCCGCACCAACTTGTGATCAGTGCCACACTCAGCTCCACGCAATACATGCGTCATGCGCACTTCACGCATATCACGCTGACGTACGATGACTTAGTCGAGCAGGTGAGCGTGACCACTCCGTGGGTGCGTCCAAGTTGCTATATCACACACACTCAGTGCAAACCGGGTGTTCAAGATCGCCAGGATGTGAGTGGCACACATTGAGAACAGCCTGTCACCGTTCGCATAGTCAGTGCCTCCTCGGAACAGACCGTATCACGGAGGATAACTGAGTGTAGAATTGATCACACCTGTCATCATGATAACACATGACAAACATACATCTTCCGAGTCGTAGGCGAACAACCATCAGTCGTGCGCTGATGCCAGTTGGTTCACCCACCAGCTGGCCATGGAGGTGTACGAATATTACAAATCCGACCCGATGTTCACGCGGAGCTGAGGCAGCGTTTTCCACCCAGTACAATGTGTAGCCAGCACCTGCTTCATGCAACTTACCTTGCTCAGCGAGCTGGATCTCACTGAGCGCAGCAATATGGATGTCGTAGCGCGCCAGGTCCATCGCGACCAGTGCAGTGCATCGTTCGGGGCGCTCACTCGAGTTCCGGTCCATTAGTGTGCGTACGTTCCGGCACCCGATGCTGAGTGCTTTGCGCGCAAGCATACGATTGCATTGGTGGGCAATCGTACGCGAGGTGGTCGTTGTGCTTCGGACGTTTGCTTGACGGACTCCACCCGGAGCCTTTGGCTCAATAGCCTGACCCACAAGGCAGTGGGGAGCAGATCCAGCTCAGGAATGTGATTGTAGAGACAGATTGGGATCTGCTTGACGGCCGTCACACACAGCCTTGTAGGTACTGGAACGATTTATATATATTTTGCGACGTAGTAGGATACACCTGCTACCACGGCCAGACGCGGGTGAGTTTTGTCGGGTTTGCACCAATTTGACCAGGGGGTGCCTGGCTTGAAGCGGGCAGTAGCAAAACATTGAACACCCGGAGGTGCCCTCCCACCGTCAGAGACAAAGCGTGGCGCTCATGCACTACGCCAATCAAGCTGTGAGCTTAGAACCCGTAGACCTGTTGTCTCCCATGGCCAGGTTTTACGGGAAGAGGGCCATCGACCACTTGCTAACCTCCGAGGAGGATGGAGTAGGATACTGCTAGAGCGCCCACTCCTGGCTAAAGAACGACTCGGGTCCTCAGCCAAAGCCTTCGATTAAATGTACACACAAATGGCAGTGGGTCTAGCACATGGTCATTTCAGTGACTCATGCAGATTGGTGTCCTGGATCTTAGCAGGGAGATGGGCGTAACCCAGCTTCCACTCAGCGGTCGCCACGAGGAGGCGTCCAGGACATGAGCCCATGGCACAACTGGAGCATCAGTGGGTATACCATCTGGCAGGAGCTAGCCACCACCAGCCTCAGCGCACCATAGGCTCCGCCGCCGCAAATATATATATATATATATATATATATATATATATATATATCCACGGATCATCTACCCTGTGGGCTTCTGGTGGGACGACCTCTACGCTCTCGGTTGGATCTGATTGCGCCTGATCTGCATAGAACAATCATTAAGTGCTAGTTCTCGATACATCGACACCACGAGAGGGGAATGATGGATGATACGGGTGTGGCAGGCGACAGATTGCATATTAAACTGGGGCCAACGGATAAGACTTGGATCCGAGTAGCTACGAAATCCAAAAGTGGTAGTGCAGTGGATTCAGAAGTGGTGGATGGGCGGTTACTTCGATATTTTTGTAGCTGAGGAAGCAAATGCTTGTCGGCTTTGATCTGGAACAAGCGAATTTCCAACCGTCTGTACCCCTAAAAATACAATCGGAAGAATTGCCAAAAAGGACACATTCCTTACAATCAAAACAGTCATTTGGTGCAAGGCGGGACATAGCATTTTATCAATCATGTTACTCTTAATCTGGCTGCGGAGGGCCTTTGTGAATGATTTATCACGATCCACCCTCTGTCGAGCCACACTCGCGACTGGTGGTGTAACTTAACGCATGGCTGATCAATTGGACCTGAATTGGCGGCGTGTACTCCCTACAACCGTGTCCTTGTACGCATAGTGTTCTTAAGTACAATGATTTCAACCATGTCTTGATATAATGTATTATAGTTGTTTCGAAATGGAAATTGAACTAGTCGTTAACTAAACTAGCCTGAACTCCTAGTAAGAACAATCGATTTAGAATTCAAGTTTCGTGGGAGCACACAAGTTTGGATCAAAGAGTTCTCAACCCGACCTAGAAACATGCCAGCTATCCAAGCCATGCCTTATTACTATTCAACATAATCTCTCATGAGTTTAATACGCTTAGTCCAGCGCTGTTCAAGCATTACCATTCCTTTGTGGAAGAAGGTCAAAGACTGTCTCTCTAAAAACAGCTCCACAGCATTGATCATTTCCTCAGTTTAGGCAAAGCTGGGACTCGGGATGTGAGATGTCAGTTTAGGGTACAGAAAAAAGTCTGGTGAGACCAACCATGGTGAACGAGCAGGGTGTGACATCAATTAAAAGCCACCTACGACCGCCTCTGACACCGCCACTTGAAAGTGTGGAAAAATGGTCATGCAAAACAATAACTGCTGCGAGCTTCCCCTCCGTTTTTCGTTGTCTACTTGCTTCAGTTTGTGTAATTCTGTAGCGTAATTATGTTGTAACGCTGCCCTTTGCCTCTGTCTCTCTGCGCTACCAACCAGCCGGGGAAAACAAAACGCTGAGCCTGCTAGACCGAAGTATATTAGGCACAGAACATGGCTACTTTTATAGGTCACATGCGCTTACCTCGCTGAGGTGACTCACGTCTGCTGTCTGGCTTCGTCAGCTTCCGGTTTGACCATGACAATTAGTCTGTCAGCCGCTCACGTGATCTGGCCGATCGCGCCCCGCTAGTGTGCACCATCGTAGTCAGCTGTTTGGCCTCCGTGACAAATAATTGCATTTGATGGTCTGACACGTTATCAAGAAGTCTTTCGTAACTACACCTTCACTGTCCTAGAAGACAGAAGCAATTATCTTTTTTGTGGTCACCTGACGGAACTTCTTTGTAGGCGGCGAATCACAGTTCTTCCAATGCTTACTTCGAATCTTTAGCTGGTTCGATGACCCCGAGCCTCATGGTGGGTAACCAATCCTATGAAAACATTTGCGTGTTGTCTTGCAATGAGTCAAAACTTGCTTCGAATTTTCCAGCCTGTTCAATTACTGATCCGGAGTCAACATGCTGGGCACCTATCTTGCAGTCAACCTTCTCATCCCCAAGCTGTTCGTTGAAACAACATGCACTGTGAACCATAACCGATGCACATAATCTTAGCTATTTGAAAAACAGGCAACTGTCTATCATTCAATCTCATTCGGTGAACTGCTTCCACTTGATCATCACACGTCGCAAAT